CACTGATATATATGCGCGAAAGCAGGGATAACCTGGAATTACTAGGAATAACACTGAAATGTCCCCCCTCCCGCAACACTTTCTACGTTTTGATTCAATCTCTCCTGACTTCGAATTAGGGTAATTTTGGGGTGGGGATCACAAATATATTGTTGGAATGTCCCAGTTTTGATTTGCAATGGACTTTCAGCTGCTCAAAAGCTGACAGTAGCTGAGCAATTTCAAAATTCCTGGGATTTTGGATTCTCGGTTCCCACGTCGAGTTTTTGTCTGATCAACTTTCTGAGTGGCTCTACCCCGTCTAAATCGGCCAAGCGGAATCGATTGCCGAGGAGAAATGGAGGCGCCGAAATCGGCAACGCGGTGAAAAAAAACAATCAAGGCGATCCGATCACATTTTTTTTTGTTTTTCTTTTTTTTATGCTTTTAAACGTCGTTTTAGACATGTATCCAAAAACGGTTTTTCATTCGAGTTTTTCCTCGCCGCGGGAGAGACAATTCGTCTTTACCGCGGAGCACCCCCTTTCTGACAAATAAAAACTATAGAAGGCAAAAATAAAAAAAGAGGGACACCAGAAATTTCCTCCAAGGCGCGATTTGTTATTATCCAACCGAAAAACTCCAGAACGGTGTAAAGAAAATACATCCCCATTCTGAAAATCTGAAGATCCGTCGACAAAACGCAATGTCCCTGTTGGATTTTCCTATCGGTAATTTTGTTTTTTTTGCTGGTCGAAAATGTATCGACAGTATTTTCTCGAGGGGTGACTTTTAACTGCCTGTCGCCTAAGGGGCGAAATACAAAGGAATGAATCCTACATCCTATCTACTCCGCCTCCAATTTTTTCGATAGAGGAAGTCAACATCCACATCCCCGCGCCGCAGGACATCGATTACTCTGGCACATTTACAAAGCAAACTGGGTATGTTTCGGACAGAAGACAAGAGTGTCAACAGTACACCCAAGTCCAGAGAGAGACGTTCGCGCGAAATCAGACATCCAACAAGAACGCTTTGTTCGCTAGACGAGGTGCAGGATAATATTTGTGCGTACTTAATAACACATCCGATCGATGCCCAAAAGAACAGTGAATTCGTACCATACCACCAAAGCTCTTCTAGAAGATCAAGTAAACCACAAGGGCAAGCGCGAGACGAACGAGCACCAATCATTGTCCTCGACCCACGCATGGGTACCCCTCGTCTCGACCTCACTTGCCGCGTGTGGCAAGCGAGCCGAGGGCATCTCCAGTCGGTCGTACACCCCAACCAGCATGGTCTCTACCTGTTTCACTCTCTCGTCCCAACAGTCACATGATAGGGGCAACACGCACACAACGACGACCATCAATGAGATAACGAAAGGTGTTGCAGCCTATTGACTGGTCCCCATTGTAATGCAGATGCAGGCGAAACGTGCTCGCACGGCCAGTGAATGCGCCCGTCGGTGGTGATTTCCCCGTCTGTGACCTCCCATCCACGACTTGCTCGTGAAACTTTAAATCGAGCACGCACTCGACGAGGCGGTTTCAAACGGATCGTGGCGACGAATCTCCCTCAGTGACACTTTCTACTGTAGGTCGCATCAGTCATGACGTCGACGTGTCTCCGGGGTCCACCCTCGAGCGGCTGCCACTAGACGTACAACACCAGGGGGGACTTCGTGTTGCCATCATGCGAGCGGATGCCTACCGGCTCTGGCTCTTGCGCTCTCACCGCTAGGCATCTTCCTTCGCCATTGTAGCACCAGAATCGCGACTGCAGCAGCAGCTGCGAGATACATCCACGCCCACAACAACCAAGTGCCGAAGCGAGGCTCGAGGGTCACGTCAGGTCAAAGAAAGAGGCGTTCTCCTTGTCGAGAAGGGGAACCGCTCCTGCGCCGCAGCCGCGATCACCCGGAGCCTTAGCCTTGGCGTTAACCTTTCCGGTCCTATCCGCACCGGTGGAGGACAGGCTGTTGCCGCCGCCTGCCGCACTTCCAACGTTCCCGCGCGCTGCCCACTGCCTCGACATCTCCTGCACGTGGACGTATGGGGAACAATTTCTTGGTTTGTTGGCGGGAGCGGGGTACTCGATAGCGAGGTCCGGTATTTGACACGCCCAGCTGCTCAGGGTTCGAAGGCCGGAAATGCAATGGTTTCGAAGGATGGAAATGCACCCTAAACTCTCTCTTGCCGCCAAACCCAAAAAAAGATATAGGGCATGGTACTTCGGAGCATGGTGCCAAATCAGCCTGATCTCAACAACAAAGCCAGAGATTCATGAACTGGGTACCTCTCAGCCCCACGATGAAAAAACAGTCCTTCCTCGGTGCCCAAAGCAGCAAGCAACCCGCAGCTCCGACAAAAACCACTTCACCCCATCCGCCAACCGTTCTGACCCAAGAGAGCACTTGGCGTCAGCTCTCGCCTACAACGAGCTCGCGGGGCAAAGGACCCTTGAAGAAAAGACAAAGCTTCTCCACCCATCCCTGCGCTATCACGAGAACCCCGTGCTGACCTTCATGACCTGCTGCTGCTTGGTGCCAGGGGGAAGAGCCCCCTTGACCTCGGCGTATCGCTCCTTGACAAACAGGCTGAACCCGGTCGCCGCGCGCGGCTTCTTGAGCTTCCCGTCCGTGCCGTGGGTGCCGAACAGTACGAGCCGCCCCTTGCATCGGCCGCAAACCTTGAGATGGGAGGGGCAACCGGCGCTTGAGGGATTGAAGACAAAGCTTTTTCGACGCTGGGCCTATTCTAATCCTTGAATCCATAAAAGAAAAGGCAAGCAACTTCCCGTCGATTATGTTTTATGCCTTCTACAGTGATCAGTCGAGGACACCATGAAAAGGCGTCCTGTGTGCTGGCACGTCCAGGTTTGCTACTGGAGCTGAAATGTCGGAGGTCGTAGCAATCTCTGAGAACAGTCCGAAGTCTGCGCCGGAACTTGCAGGAACCACACGCTTTTCACAGTCATGCTCACCGCCACGAACCGTGAACCCCTGAACGGAGGGTCGTCAGCAGTAGCTAGTGGCATCAGCTACTGCAGTCAACCCGCATTTCAGTAGATTGGGGTCAGTGGCGGCGAGCACAAGCAGTACGAGACACAAGACAAAAGGTGTCGGAAATTCGCGGAGATATGCGGATAATGTAGGCCACTACTACGACCCTCTATGTCACCACTCAACAAGCAGATTTGAGCGCGCAATACACACCCTGCTGCTATAGGGGTTCCTCAAGTGATATCAGTAAATGTAGTGTAGTGCCAAACCGACCTTGTTTGACCACCTGCCGTTTTGGCTCTTTCGACTTGAAGTTGGACTGCTGTGAAGTTTATGCTGGTTTCAAAGGAGGTGCGTGGAGGTAGACGCGTGAAATGCATGTTTAGAGCAGTCTGTCCTGCCGCCCTGTGCGAAAATCAACGATTTCTGCTTTTCGCGGTGCCTTCGGACTGGTCTTGTGTGTCTGTGCATTTTCTGGTGCTCTTGCGCTTGTTTTCAATATTTGTTAACGTCAAACGTCTTTGTCTGCCGTCCCTTAACATGGGAGGAGTAACCGGCGTGCTTGTTTCGCCTAGGGACGGCGGACGACCATCATCTCGATTTTCTCCCAAAAATCAAGCGCTGCTTGGACACGGCCACATAATGGAGGAGAAGACGGGTAAACTGAGGGGGACGATAAGGAGGAGAAACATTGTCTTCTCCCCGCAGGGCCGGCGGTTTAAGAGAAGACGGATGGCGATGGAGAACCCCTGCCAGACAAGCCACTGTTTGAAGCTTACCTTGCCCATCCCAAAAAACATGTATCCACACAAGGCAGACGAATTCAGCAACAACATCACACACATGGCCGTCTAGAATTGGCCCACTCGAACGAACAGTACACCTAGGCAAACGGCATCACCATGCCGCTGTCGGGTAATTATTGGCAAGAACTCGAATGCGGAGGCGCTGCCGTTCAGTCTCCTCCGAGGGGACCCTACCTCACCCGACCTAACGATTTAAATTGAAGACCTTGAAAAATCTTGCGTGGTTTGGTTGCAAGGAAATATCTGTCATCGGAGCGGCACGACCAACGGCGAACCAGAACAACACACGAATGACCTTTGACCTTTCCTAAAAAAATAGAAAAAAAAACGACGATTCACCTGTCTCGCCACGTCGATGGACTTGGAGTGCCTACCGATCACCGCTCCACAACCCAGACCCCCTGACCGTCCCGCCTCGATCTCGCAGCCACTACCGCCGCCTCCCGCCAAGCTCCCCCCCACGCACGTGTAGCGGTACTTGTAGTTGATGGCGTAGCTGTGGCAGGTGGTGATGGGTACCCCCGGGTGGGCCGCCTTCGCGCGGTTGGCCCAGACCCAAAAGTGTTCCCCGTGAGGGGGGTTGGACTTGTGGTCGACCACCCAGGCGGCGGCGTGGCAGAGCTCGTGCAGAAGCGTCTGCGGGGAGTGTCAGCCGTTTTGTGATGTCATCGGGGTAGACACGGTTTCGAGTTGATAGCGGGGGCGGCGAGGCGGCAGCGAGTGTTGAGGCAAACACGGGAGACGGCGTCGTTATTATGGCGATTTTGGCGCCGTCGAGTGCGCGCGTTTGGTCTTGCTCCGTCTGCCAGAGACTACTGATGATCGCTGTCTGAGACTATGTGTCACTGGGACAAGAACCGTGTTGAGTTTGGCCGCTAGTAAGCGCCCAAAAGAAATGAGTCCGCTTGTACGGTGTTCCCGAGAAACATGCTTCCGCCACACAACAGGCGGCGACGGTACAATCTCAAGGAAAGCGAGTTCCCTGGACTTGTCCCGCAGCATCATAAAGCGGGTGAGCAAACGTCGTCATCAGCAGCTAGACGAGCTTCCAATCAACCAATCAAACTCTAGCTCGAAATCATGGACTGAGACTTTTCGAGGAATCTATCGACAGCCATATGTTGATACCGCTGTAAGAAACATCGCAAACACAAAAAAAACACAACCCACGATATCGACGTTTAGTGAAAGACAAAGACCGGCCCAGTCCACCTGTTGGAGCTTGTCCTCGCTGTCCAAAACCTTGGTCGACAGCTCGACCGTGGACAGGTAGGCGTAGTCCTCCCCCGAGGGGTTAACCCGGCGGAGGGACTTGGTCACCCCCGCCGTGGTCGAAAGGCGCGCGCTCCAGGCCACCTTCACGTCGGACAGGGCCCCCCCGAAAGCACCCTCGTTGAACTCCGCGAAGTACTTGGCCGTCAGGCTTGGGTTGGTTTGTTTTCGGCACAGATGCAAGCGGTATACGGGACGGCATAAGTTAATGTCGGTGGTGGCGTCTTCACTATAAGAAACGTTCCAGTCGCAGCACCCCTATGACACTAATAGTCGTAAGGCTCAACTGACGCGGATAGCTTCCATGGAGGTAGTCAATAACAAAAAAACACTCTGCGTCCAGACTCTCTGGGTGGTGAAAGGTCTCGCAAGCCTCCTCGCACTGAACCAAACCGAGCCAAATTCTCTGCTTCGCTTTTTGCTTCTTGGTGCGGGTGCGGCAAAGCCGGGGACGGGGGACAGGGTCGATGTGTTTGCTGGAAAAACGAGACAAGGAAAGCATGATACTTTGCCGAAAAGCGCCGTCCACAAGCAGCGACGGCGCGGTGCCGAGCCGGGTCCGGCCGCGCCTTCAAGGCCTTCACCAGACGGCTCGGAAAAATGCATCACACGATAGAGGTAAGACAAGCACGGGGACGGACACACGCTCCCGTGCCGAAAAAACTTCGACAACAGAAAACTAGTAACCTTCCACACAACGCGGACGGACACACACCGCACCGCACAGCACCGCACCTGTCTCTAGCCCTCGAGAACGCAGCGCCGGTCAGACCTCCCGCAGCCGAATCAACACCACCGCCTTCAGCGCGCCCTTTCTTTCTCACGGTGCCCCCTGCTTTCCCTTCCGCGGGTCGCCAACCCCTCCTGTCCTTGGCAGGCTCCGCCCTGCGGGACTTCGCCGGGCGACTGCTCTTCGCGGGCGTCTCAGCGGCAGGAGACGGACGCAGTGAGTCTTCGTCGGAGGATGGGCCTTCCTGCACCTTGCGACGGCGATCAAGATTAGGACACCTGGTAGAGGCGCCGATAGACCAATCGTCGTCGTCGTCGTCGTCGTCGTTGTCGATGTCATGACCGTCGTCGCGTTTGGAAGTGATGTGGTCGCTCCGGGGAGAAACGCCGCCGGCTGTCGTCCTGCTGCTGGCCGAAGACGAAGGGGAATCGGCGACTAGAACCACGGCAGCAGAGCGCTTACCACGTGCGGAAGCTCTTCGTCGTCTTCGGGGTCGGATCGCTTCGCCCTCGTCGTGGAAACATTCACCCTCCGACGGCGCCGAGGAAGCAGCAGCAGCAGTGGGCTTCTCCTTCCGAGCTATTCCCGCCGTGGCTCGCTGACGTTCACTTACGTCTTCCTCTTCCTCCTCTTCCTCCTCCTCCTCCTCCTCCTCCTCCTTCTCCTCTTCCTCATCCTCAGAAAAGCTCTCGACGACGTAGGAGAACCCCCCGATATCTGCGTTCTTTCTATCGGTACCGCTCACAAATCGGACGTCCTCCTCCTGGGTAGAATTGTCGCTACTCTCCACGTCGTCGTCGGAGATAACCCTCCTCGCCTGGCGACGAAGGCGGCGAGATGGCATCGTTCCGGCTGCGGCAGCGGTAGCACCGCGCCCAGCATCGCCACCGCTGCAGGTCCCGCTATCATGGGGCTCGCTGCTGACGACGACAGGGCCACGGGGGGCGAAGCCTCGTTCTCCTCCGCGGGCCCCCTCACTCCCCGGTGTGGAAGAACCCGACTCCGAGGACTCCACCAACACCTTCCGCCGTCTCGCCGAGCCACCCCTGGCGACCCTTCCCCCCGGCCTTCTCCCTACATCAACCACGTCATTATCATCGTCCTCGTCGTCGTGCCCCCCCACACTGATATTTCGCGGCGGGGCCTCCCGTCCCAAGGCACCGCCTGAACACCTGCCAGACTCGACGCTGCTCGCGTCGCCGGCTGTCACGGGCCTGGGGACGATGTTCCACTCCTCCGCGGCGTCTAGCGAGCCCCCGTCGCCGCTGGAACAACCGGCTTCGTCAACGACTGTGCGATAGCCGTCACCAGCGCAGCCGAAGCTCGCGGTCCTTTTGCTGCCGGCCCCGTCAGAGCTGTCGCTCGGCGCGATGTCAATGCTTGCATGAAACTCATCAGCAGCAGCATCAGCATCAGCATCAGCATCAGGAATACCGCCAGCAGAGCTCTCATCGACCTCTAGAGGGACGTCACCCTGTGCCAAAGACTCATCATCAGGCTTCCTCTGCTTGACTTCGGCCCCTGCCGCCCTCGCACCCTTCCGCCGCCGTGGTTCGGCAAGGTGAGGTCCTCCATGACTGTCCACGACCGGTTCCGAAGTCACCTCACGAGGGGAATCATCCTCGTCGCTTACCGTAGCGGCAGCACCAGCAGTAGCAGCCCGGGAGATAGCACACCCGGTATCGCTGCTGTCCGAATCTTCGTCTACCAGCACGCGGCGCCGTCTGCCGGGGCTGCTGGACTTCTTCTCAATCGTGCTGCTGGTGGCTCCTGTTGCTCTTCCAATGACATCGGCAGCCTCGGTGAGCCTGGCGCCGGAGGCAACCCCACTCACCGAGATCTCCTCCCCCTCCCCCTCCTCATTTTCCGCCCCCGCCTCACTTTCCTCCTCCTCGTCCTCCTCGTCCTCCTCGTCCTCGTCCTCGTCCTCTTCCTTCTCCTCCTCCTCCTCCGACGAGGGTTCGGAAGCTAAAACGTCCAGGGGTTCCGCAGGATGCACTATTCCCCCGCCATCGTCGTCGAAATCGTCGTCGACAATCACTCTCCTCTTGCTGGGCATTGACGTTCGCCCAAGCTGCCCTCGGAAAATTCCACCGCGTTTGCCGATGCGGATGCCGTAATCGCTACCGCTGCTGCTGCTTTCGCTGCCACCGTCGCCATCCGTGCCCGTGGCAGTTGCATGAGCAGCAGCAGTGGCGGAAACCACCGGGCTGTCGCCTCCTCCCGTCGTCATATCGCCGTCGGGCGCAACACTATCGTTTCCGCCCGTCTCCTTCTCCGCCGCCCTTGCCTCCGCGACGACAACGATGGTTTCGTCGCCCAAGGCAGTGGAGAAGGACGAGGCGTGTTCGGGGCAGGCCACAGCGACACTCCGGCGCCGCTCCTCGTCACACCCACCGCCGATATCACCGTCGGATTCATCACCTGCAGCGATCGCCGTAGCCTCTCCAACCGCCGCCGCCGCGTGCAGCTGCTGCTGCTCCAGCGCCGTCCCCGATAAACCACGGGCGCTACCCGGCCCCGACGACATCGCCCGGAGATCCGCCGCGTCTTCCTGGTCGCCGCCCGAAGCCCCGTCACAGCGGGACCCCGCAAACACCATCGCAACAGCCGCTGGCGGGTGCTCCGAGTTCGCGGGCTCTCCGCTCTCGGAGCAGCAACCACTGGCGACGCCACCCGGACTCTGGGAAGAGAGAGAAGGATCATTCGCCAGGTCGAAGGCGGTGCTCGCCCGGTGGCGGTCCGGAGAAGGCGCTGGCGAGACGCCAGGAGGTTGCGTGGCGACTTGATGGTGCTGCTTCGCGTCAGCACCGCCGTCGGCCTGGCGGTCGTCGGGGATTCGGGGGTCAGACGATGTCTTGCTAGCGCTATCGTAGGTGTTGAGCAGGGCTCGTTCTGCTTCAGCGGCGGTTTCTCCTTGGGCGCCAACCGAGGGCCTTTGGAATTATTTTAGCAGGGTGAGGAGGAGTGTCACCAAACACATTTAAGCGCGAACCGAGGAAGGGAGCGCGCGGCGAAAGGGAAGGAGAAAGAGAGGTGGGAAGTAGAAGGGCGGAGAGAAATGACAAACACGCAAGCAGAGAGAGACGGACGGTTCGGACCATAGAGGGTCACGGGGCGCACGCGCACGCGAGAGAGAGGGAGGGCGGGGGGGGGCAAGGAAGCAAAGGGGGCCGAGGAACGTGGTAGCGAAATCGCGACCGATGATTAGGTTGAGGTACATGGGCAATCTCCATCCTCTTCTAGTAAGTTTACCGCTCACACCGAATGAGATACCCCTGTGCAATCTCCCGCACAATCGAGGTGTAACAGGATACCGCTCAAGCTCACACCGTTCTAAACTCAAGTCAAAGTAGCCAATACGGCAGGAGCTCAGATATGATCTGTGTTGCCAGGAACCTGGTGCATTGTACTGATATCGCTGTAGAGGACATCCTATAGCAGCGGGAGATGCATGTTGGCGGGCTCACATCTACTTCTGTGGTGGTGATATCGAGGGTTGTACATGTACTGTATAGTGGCCTACGCAAGGGTACACGAGGAAAAAAAATCCGAACACATAGGCCACCCCCCCCCCCCCCCCCCCCCCCCCCCCCCCCCCCCCCCCCCCCCNCCAGCTTTCACATTGAACCACCTGCCTTGCAAACTTGCCCTTGCCGCCTCCTCTAGCACTACACAACAGGTAACATAGTGTCGCAAATCTATCTTTAGACTTAGTCTAGTCTTCTTCATGCTGTAGGGTTGATTGCGTTTCACTGGATGGACCAATCGGCCACACGGGCGACTGGTGGGCTAAAATATAGCGGCTGCTCCTGGGGTATGCATGCGAAGATTGCGAAGATGACCCGGTTGTGTGAGGGTTGTCTGCCATCTCTCGGGGATCTCCACAGCTCCACAGCGCCAGCAGCGCCAGTGGTGACGCACACCATGCGAGAGCGGGGCGCCAAAAGCACCGACGCCTCGGCAGAAAGCCCGGGGATACATGGGTCATGTCCCAACTCCCCCACCCCCAAAGGACCCCGAAGAGCCGACGTCTCGGCGGAAACCCGGGGATACATGGGTATATGTCCCCCCCCAAAATGACCTCGAAGCGCCGACGCCTAGACGGAAAACCCGGGAATACATGGGTATGTGTCCCCGCCCCCCCCCCTCAAATGACACCGATTTTCGATTAGTAGGCCTATGTGTCTTGAAAATGTTGTTACGTGTACCCTACAATCTCTGCAAAACTCCGCAAATTAGACCGTGTCTTGTGTCTTGTACTGCTTGTGCTCGCCGCCACTGACCCCAATCTCCTGAAATGCGGGTTTACAGCAGTAGCTGATGCCACTGCATAGCTGCTGCTGACAACCTCCGTTCAGCGATTTACCGTTCGTGGCGATGAGCACGGCTGTGACAAATGCAAGTGTCGGATGCCGCTTGGTTCCGGCGAAGAGTTCGGCCTGTTTTGAGAGACTGCTGCGACCTTCGGTATTTCAGCTCCAGCGGCAAACCTGAACGTGCCAGCACGCACGACACCTCTTAGGGTTATCCTCTTCTGATATTACTACTAAGTACCAGCTTCCTTCGGCGGGAAGGTTGTTTCTTTATGTTGGATGAAAATGAGAATAGAGCCAGCGTCAAAACCCTCTTCTGGATACTTCCGGAACAGCTTATTCGGGACCGCTATCTCGGGACTGTGTGCACGCAGTGTGACGGCACAGAGTAGATCTACAAACTGGTACCAGGTAGATGAGGGTGTATCAGCCCACCGCGTGGTCTGGTGATCACGCCACGCCTGCCGGTGATTTTTTCATGGACAGCGTGATGGTCAGTGCTGCTGCGCTATCTACTTAAGCGTGTGATGAACACGAACAGCATAGTCTAAAGTCTACCTTGTTAGGAACGGAGTATCCTCGGCAGAGGTCGCCAGCTGCGGCCAGGCTTTAGACCACTGCAGGTTCACATCACTGCAATCACCGATGTCCATGCCGCTCACGTTTGTTCCGTGCCGCCGCCGCCGCCTGCTTCTGCTGCGTTTCGTGACGCTGCCGATGTTGGATGCCGCCGCCTCGAACCCAAATGCTCTAGGCGAGGAGGTGGGAGAAGGTGACCGCATCCGATCCCAGTGGTACAACCGATTTAGCTCTCTAAGTTCGTTCACGAGACTGTCCCGACCGCGCTGGCGGCTCCTCGGTTTAGCCATAGCCGTGCCGCTTGGCATCCAAGTGTCGCTTGCGTCGCAGCAACCCCCGTTGTCCAGGAGTCCGCTAGCGATCCTTGAGCGATGCTGTGCATTTTGAGGTCCAAACCTCCAAACTCCAAACCGCCACTATTGCGACACGCCAACCAGGTTTATCGAAAACCATACTCTCTGCCCTCAGAGGAGGTTGGCGCGCCGCAAGAGGCAGAGAGTCTATGACGTATATTATGTCTACCCTTTTTTTTTAAGGTCATGGACCATAGGCAGAGAGGGAGATACATGTATTGCATATTGTATACATATTTTTTCTCCCATCATCGGACTCGGTCGTCTGCCCCTCTGGCCCCTATGTATGTGTAGCATTTGGTGGAGAGCACGGCAGCTCGTGGATAAGGTGGGTAGCTCGCTGCGCACAGGTATCGTTTGGAGCTACACTAGCAGGAAGGCAGGCGCTGCTGTAACAGTTTTTCGTGCATGTCGAGGTGTACCGAGCTCCGAAAACAGCAGTAATTTTTAGTTTTTGCTCCCATCATTGGACTCTGTCGTCGGCCCCTCTGGCCCCTATCCTCCACTTCTACTAGCTAGACGACCCAACCGGGGTCACACAGGAGGGGGGGGTTGGACCCCTTCCTGCGGTTCCTGCCTGAGATATTTTTATCGCGTAATGTAGCCCGGGGAATATTAACCCAATGGTCCGTACAGGACACCCGCTTGCGCAGGTAGTATACAGCAGTAGCAGAGAGCCCTTTCGTGCTGTCGCAATGTCGTGTGTCTTCTCTCTCTCCCTAGTCACGTCCGTGAACCACTTATATTCCCAGCTGTGCCCACAAACACGTGTAAGAAACGGGGGTCTGGTCTCTCCTGCCCTGCAGGGCTTCCAGTTCGGGTGTTGCACGGAGAAACTTTTCAAGACAAGCCGTTCGTCGCGAACCTCAAAAAGTTACTTCTGTATCCCTAATATTGAGCAGTGGGGATTGATACGTTGCCCGGCGCATCGACCGGCGCTATTCAATGTGCACAATCACTTGGTGATTCAGTTTGTACCCAGCACTTTCACCTTCGCTATTCAGGGCCATCGGCGCTAATCAAACCGGCGTTGTTGACGCCCCAATCCTGTAACTACAGAGTGTTTTTACGGCTGTATAGTCTACACATGCAAGCTACTGCTGTACTTTGAGGGACTGTACCGTACGACCCAAGATAACATACCCCCTGTACCGATTTTCAAAGCTCGATTACGCCACGGCGAATACGATGCATATATGTACGAAACGATACGTTTTCAGAAGCTCTCGACGAGACGGCTTCAACGCCGCCGTTTTCTGCGCTGTGACTCTTTCTGCTATTGAGAGATCGAGCGTGGAAGATCGGTCCAGGGGGTATGTTTCTCGTGTCGAAAGTATTGGGTTGTTGGTGATGCGCGTGAGTACATCGTCACAGCAGGCAGTGCAGCAGTAGGTGTAGCCCCAAAGGGGGTCCTAGGCGTTCCTTGTGCCTCTTTCCACAACCAATAAGATCACCAGCAGGTACATACTGTACGTGCGACGTGCACATTCGCTTGGATCGGCGGTAGGTCTCCACGGCCAAACAGGATCGAGGGAGTTGCAGCGTATCTTGGAAAGACCCAACATGCTGCTCTTGGAAAGACCCGACATAAGCCCAGTATCCAGCAGGTTCCTCGCGAGCTGTTGGATTGCTGTAAGGACGTGAAGACTGCCAACACATCCGTCCTTTTCGCTGGGATACACAGTATTCATGCTTCCTGAGGACGACGAGCGGCACAGCTAGTGGCCCTTTCGCTGCCGCTGCCTCGAACGTTGGTGGACCGCCCGGAGCGAGAAACTAAGTTTATGAGAATAGAACAGGGTGGGTGCATGCACACGCAGACCCTAACCCGAGCGAAACTTCCCCGATTGCATGCTTCATCCGACATGTTTTATTAATAGAAAACCCCTGCGAGGGCTTCTCGTACTGACGTTTGTACTCTCCTTCTCGAACCGTAGCACAGCAAAGCGCTGCTTTGCAGGTCGTGTGTACAGCGGTAGCGTTCGCTCGTGTTTGCCCACACGCGCCCGTTCCTAAGCCGGTCGCCGCATCGCTTGCTTCTACTGCTACTGCTGTACCGCAATTATATGCAGCAGTTGGCGCCCGCGCAATAACCTCTAGTTGTGGCCGAGGGTGGGGTTCTAGGTTTTGCTGCAAATGGCCACTATTATTATTGTGTCGTCCATGGCAAGGCAGAAGGCACCCGCTGTCTGGGGTTCGTCCCGCACTTCAACCGCGCAACTCACTAGACCGCACTACCGACCCAATACATGCGTCTGAGTTGCTCAACGAGGAGTTTCTGCTAATATAAAAGTTTCCCTGTATATTCGCTTCTGCACCCCTGCCATCAACCCCATACATGCGCCGCGTGCCTCCTCTCCCTCTCGCCACCTCGCCATCCACCTCCAATTTTTTCAGAACATTCCCTTTCTCCAGGGACCCCAGGGTCATGTTCACGCAGCCGAGGCAGAGTGCCGCTCCTCCGCGGGCCCCCGACACCGCCAGCAACAATGAAGCGTGCCCCTCTCCGCCATCACCGCCTCCGCCATCTTCGAGCCCGTTGGCCGACAGCAGCGGCAGTAGCCGCCGCTGCCGCCGCACCAGCAACGGAATACGGAGCGGCAGCAGCACATCGCCTTTCGTTCTCGTCTGTACGACACTTTCGTCCATGCTGGCGACGTGCGGCATGCTCGTCATGCTTCCGGCGGGGCTAGACGCTCAGTCGGACAAGTACATGAGCGGGGCGCAGTGGAAGAACTTCCTGGAGTCTGGTGTCGGCGGCGACACCTGGTTCACCCGCTGGTGAGTTGCCAACTGTTTTTTATTGCTGTCGGGTGTGGTGAAAACATGCAGACGAAACACCCCTCCGCTTTGAGAACCATACTGCTTTAGTCTGCCCCCCGACACTCCCCCCCCGTGTGCCCGGCAACCTCTGGGGACGAAAAGTCACACAGGCTTGGAAAATTCTGTGCCTTGGTTCGGGGTGTTGTCGTGGGGTGTTGGGCTGGGTTGTTCGAGTCCAAACGCGTTCAGCGTTGTGAGCTCTTCGATCTTGGACAATTTCAATACAGGCTGAGCAGCTTTTGAAGGGCTTTCGTGTTCATCTCGCATGCCCCCCGACACTCGCTCCTTTTGATTCTGTGCCGGGAAACCTACAGGTACTCATGTACGCCTGCTGCTACACCGACTTGGAACTGTTTTTGTCCCTTGGTTGGTTGGGTGTAAACTGGGCTCTCCTGGTCGAATTGTGTGTGTGCTGTTCAACCTCAGACTACGTCAAAACTGGCAGAGCATTGCTTCTGATGAGTTTGTTTTCATCTTGTATCACCCCTGTGACGACGCTTCTGCTATGCCTAAATGAGCCGGCACCCTTATTTGTTTTATGCCTGTGTGCGCGGCAGGATGGGTTCTCCTGCTGATGTGTTTCGAACAAATGAACGGTCAAGTTGTTACCTGCAAATTGTTTAGTGGTTGGCGCACGTTCTCTGTTAACCTTGTCCCTCTGTTGCGCCGCTGCCTCCTGCCGGACATAATCTTCCTGGCCCAGAGTAGTAGAAGGCACGCTAAAGTTGGGCCGGTGGAGGAAGGAGGACGGAAGGCGCTAGTGACATTTCAGTTGGCGTCGTTGGTGCCGGCGAGGTTGGAACGAGGTTGATGGTATCAAGCACCATCGTTTGCGCTCGCGGGCTTGCCCCCTCCCGCTACCGGCCGGCCCAACCCTTGGAAATTGTATTGGGCGTGTATGTTTACGTCCGCCTCCCTCTCCTCTCGAGGACGCGTGGTCCATGGTCGATCGTCGAAGGCATGCAAAACTTGATTGTACGCCCCCCCACCCCGACCCTCTCCCGCCGTCTCGCCTCAGGAATGCCATGGTACAGCCGCGGATAGACAAACTCGCCGCTCTCGCCGAGACCGAGAGGAATTGGGGCGACGCGAGTAGCAGCGGCGGCCGTGGTACCCAGCAGCCGTTTCGCGTGGCCATGATCGGGGACAGCACGATGATGCAGCAGCACGGGGTCATCTGCGCGTTCCTCGCGGAGCGGGCGGGCAGCCTGTTCGATGCGGCGGTGAGAGAGACAAGAGTTGGGCGCACGGGGGCGCGATAGGCAAAAAGGAGGTGTTGTGCTCATGCAAACGCATGCGGCAGTGGTCGGACCGTTGACCGGGGGAGGGGGGGGGGGGCGTACTCTTATGTTTTGCATGTCTTAGCGGTTAGACCATTGACCACGCGTCCTCGAGCGGACGGAGCATTGTTCCCACAGGACCGATCACCGATGGCCAATCGTTCCTTTCTACTTTGCCAAAGGTGGCTCAAAAATGTCTTCCCTAGTCTG